GCTCAGACCCAGATAAGACTTTTGTTGTCCTTGGAAACTTTCACTTTTCTAGACTGCAGCTGGAAAAAAAGGGGGAAAACCTCTTGGGCTGCTTATCTGTGTGGCAGAGATGATAAACTATTTTGAAATTGGCCTGCTTGGACCACAAATATAAATACTGACTTTTAGAGCTGTGTCGTGGAGCTATTTACCTGTAGAAGAAATGTGCATTATGAATTGAGATGATGGAATACTTTGGATTATAAACCTTTGACTGATGAACAACTTTTAATTACTTTTTTTTATCTCTGGACAGAAAGAACATGTTTTTCATTGGACAGAAAAACTTAAGTTTTGCTTATATTTGCTTAGGGGAGGCTTAAGGATGGACTGGTAGACTGGCTAGATAACTTGGAGCACAAATGACAATTGACTGAAACGTTTTAAATCCCTAAATAGATTGGACTATAGAGACCACATATAAAAACAAAATAGATCTTCTATACTCAGCTTTAAATGGTAAAAAACCATCTCTAACACTTATCTCCAAAGTCCCCAGCTTGACATATCAACAAGAAAATGTTGACGAACTCAGAAGGAAATTCTTTGTATGTTAAAATTAATACAAGAGACAATTGATTTAGCTCATGATGAGACTAAAAATAACACAAAGGAGATAAAAGAACAATTTTTTAATCTAAATCCACAAATTCAGAAAATGACTATAAAGAATAATAACCCAGAAAATAGAAGGAAAATTAGAGGAAGTGGACCCAAAGTTGGAGGACCTAAAGGAAGAAATTAACAAACAGACTCAGACAAATGAAGAATTAGAAGACCTAGCGATAATATCAGAAATGAAAAAAAAATCTTTCCTGTCAAGATCTCAGAACACTCTTGAGGATAAGGAAGAAGAACTGATCGAATGGAAGATAAAGCTGTTGGGAGAATTGTAGGAAATTGGAGAAGGAGGAAGGCTGTTTAATAAATATCAACGGGCTGAGCATTCTTTCAAAAATACCTTAACCAAATTGTCTTACTTATTCCAAACAATATACATAAAAATAGAGGAAGAACTACTTGATGATTCAAAGGCATTGACTTGGAAAGTTAGTTGGCAAAGGAAAAAAGCTAGAGTAAGATTGAAAATAGAGGTCCTGACCTATTAGATGGGATATTATACAATTAAAGAGATGTTTGAATATGGCTAAGAGAATAGATAATTGTTAGAAATAGAAATGTTATTAGAACTAGAAAGATAGGATTTATAACTAGAATTTTACTTTTGATATGAGAGGAGAAATATGAAAATGCTAAGAGGGTTTGAACAAGGGAAGCCTTTGGTTGCCCAAATATAATTTATTATGAGAAAATTATAAATGATAGAGATACTTTGAACACTGATGGAAAATCATATTTTTTTAAAAAAGCGGGAAAAACAGGATATTGATTGAACAAATGGATATTAAGTGCAAATGCAATTGAGATATGTTTTGGTTAGANAAAAAATATTTTAAATTGACACTACTGATATTATATATAATATTAGAAAAATGTAACAAAGATGCTGGTATTCAACTGCATATGTATTAACAGCAATAAGAATTGTATTTGCTCAGTATGGAAAAATATCTAACATCGGAAGAAGAGAGGAAGCACTGGATGGTGTAGTATTGTATCTAGATTGAGGAAGTTAATATGTACCACTAAATTACTGATGGACCAAGACAACACGTTATTTATTAAGTACTTATGATTGTAAAACTAGAAAATTAATAAAATACTTATTAAAAAAATAAGAAATGTATCATTTTAAAGCAATTTTGGAGGTTGTGCACAAGACTTAAAACTTCTATTTTTATTTTTGCTGGATGCTTAGTATTGATATCACACAGTTTCCCAGGGTGGGGGAAATAAATATAGATGGGGAAAATATTTGGATGGGGTGGAATAAAGAAATATCAAGAAAGATCTGTGCAATCCCTCTTCTTGCACTTCTTGCCGATTACCAATTCAAGACTATCTTACATTATAGATATAGTTCCAGATACAAATCCATGGTCAGAAATAATTATAATTATAATCTTATTCTCTCTCTCTCTCTCTCTCTCTCTCTCTCTCTCTCTCTCTCTCTCTCTCTCTCTCTCTCTCTCTCTCTCTCTCTCTCTCCACCCTTTATCCACTCATTACTTTATAAGTAACTCAAGGTGGTGAACATATCTAATATTCCTCTTCCTCTCCCCCTCCACAACAATATCCCTCTAAGGTAAGTTGGGCTAATGGAGAAGGACTTGCCCAAAGTTACTCAGCTGGCTTTCATACTTCAGAGGACTAGAATTCATAATCTGGTTTGTAGACCAACATTTTAACCACTGCACCAAACTATGTTGACATACATTATGTTAATAATGTTATTACAGATTACAAATTACATATTATGCACACACATTAACTATGTTAACATATACCAAGCACACTGAATTTGATATAACAGAGTTTGTATTTGAAAGCCAATCTTTCAGCTTTATCTGTAAAAGAAAAAAGCAATATTGCATTTATCTGACAAGACTTTCCCATCTTACTTCCAAATAATTTAGTTTTAAAATGGAAAGATAGCTCAGATTTAATAGCACAGAGGCAGGCGATTTGGGGTTTTTTTTCTGCCTAATATTTATTTTGGAGTGGGTTATTTAAAATACAGTTATCTTCCCTTCAGGTAATTATGAGGAAAAAAATGGAGAGAGATTTCTTTTAAGAGCAATATAATATGAACTGCATTGAGTATTTAGGAAATTTTGTTGAATACATGCTAAGAATGATGTACTTTTTCTCTGTTACCCATAAATAGAACAAAACTTAAATTATTCATAATGAAATTAATATTCTTCGTAGGAAGTGATATTTCTTTTTCTTTTTGAAAAATCTGTTTTGGATATAGCAGTATAAAGAAAGTTGCGGTAGGGTTCCCTGGAAATAATACGGCATTGTGATCCTCTTGATGGAGAAATTCTATAATGAAATTGAAGCTAAATGGACTGTTGCTTCCTTAATGAAATTTCAGATTGTGTTTGTGTCTGTCCTATAAAGAATATTAGAATGGAACCTGAGCTGATAACATGCTTCGCCCAAATTCCATTGTATTTGTTTTCCATTCCAGTTTTTAAAGCTATGTAATCCACCATCTAGCTTCTCCTCTGTGCAGTACCGAATAAAATGTAATCAAATCAACTGTTAACATATCTACTCTTCTTACACAGAACTGAAGCTATTTCCATCCTATTTTATTTTATTTGATTCCCATCTCCATCATCTCCAAAATTGTATTTAAAATAGTGCAATATTGAAGCAGCTTGATTATTTCAATAAAATAGGTAATTTCTAGCTAGGTGGGAATCCATATATTTCACTCAACATGGGTGGCTGTAATCTTGGCTCTCTGTTAGCTAATGATTAACACATTATTACAGAGATTTAAAGAATGAATAGATTGCGAAGGAATGGCTCATATTTCCTATATTCCCTCTCTTTGAAAAAAATTAGCTGTCTGCTAATGGAAGTGTTTCTCAGTCTAATCTATTCTAGTCAGTTTATTGTTCAGCTCAGGTGGCACTGTAAAAAAAACTTATGAAGTTTCTTAGTATAATCAGTGTTTAAAGAGTCTGGTTATAATAAATCCTGATTTTATGGTCAAAGCTAACCAGGATCACACGTCTACTTTCTGCTGAACAATAAACTGGCTAGAATAGATTAGATTGAGAAACACTTCCATTACCAGGGAGCCCTGCCAGTTAATCCCAGAATCTGCCACCACAGTTTGACCAGCTACATTATCATGCTGGCAGAAACATCGAAAAAAAAAAAAGCTATGGAGAAGGAGGTAAGTTATGCTAATCTTCCAGACAACGTCTCTCAATTTTGGCAGCTTTAAGATGTGTGTGGACTTCAACTCCCAGTCTACATGATAGCTGGGGAATTCTGGAAGTTGAAGTCTACACATCTTAAAGTTGTTAAGATTGAGAAACCCTGCTCTGGACTACTACTTCCTACACAGTTCCAGTCCTAAAGACTGAACTGAGTTCTCCTTTCAAACACCTCTTTCTGAAACAATGATAATTTCAATAAATGTAATTCATGACTGGGTAGCCTTCTGCTGCTTTGGCAAGTTACTATTAAGTATCTAGCAACAGAGACTTTCTTAAGGCAAATTAATTCTCTAGGAATTGGGGATGTGACATGTGGAGGAAGCATGCAATTTCACTCTGTGTTATTGCTATAGTTACTTATATATTACTCTTTACTTATATTATACATATTTTGCATTCATTCTTTAATTGGCTTGCAGTTGCTTCACTCTATTTGGTAGTATTTGTCTACACTGGTGCATTTATTAGGCTCAGTGTATGATAATACCATCCTGGGACAGAATAGAAAGCCTAAAACAGAAGTCTCCATTGGTTTAGAGCAAAGGTGGGGAACGGTAGCCCTTTTATGACTTGTTGACTTCAACTCCCAGAATTCCTGAGCCAACATATTGAATTGAAGTCCACAAGTCATAAAAGGGCCATCATTCTCCACCCCTGGTTTAGAGTCTTTGTACAACCTGATCTCTTTTGAATGTACAGGAAGACATACTGCTAAAAAAAAAAGAATAACAGTAGCCCACCATCTTATATATACTTGGCAGGAAAATTACAACCTCACTTCATATTAAAACACCTTGGCTTAATTCATATAATTTAAAACAGCAAGCTATCCAATTCAGTGTCCCCAAATGATCCCTTCATCTTTCCGGCTCAAATGACTTGAGAGATAATCAGTGCAGACATAGAAATGCATCTCAATATTTGGGACATTTATTCCCTAAGACACTGATACAGAGGTTGGATATTTTTTTGACAACTTTCAAGGGAACAGGTGTCTGTTGCCAAGTGGCTGTGCTTAAAAGCTAGCCTTAGGGTAGATTTGCCCCAAATCTAGAATCATCCTGAGCCTAGCATCACTTGTCACTTTTTTTTTCTCACCTTTGTTGTAAGAACGCTGTTCTGTTGAATGTCCACTTGGGCGATTTGTCCTGCACCTCCTGATTCAAGGAATTTGTGTTGGGTACAAAGGAAGGATCAAGGAACTTCAGTGCAAACTGTGACCTAAAACAGTTCACATATTTATGCAATCAGTGAAAAGTATTTATGACATTAAGGGCCAAATTAAGGATGTTATCATTTCTACTCACTCTTATCACCACTGTCCGTTAGAAGAAGACATTCTCTGATATATGAGTCTCAACATCTAAACATGTTCAGATGGGTGGAAATTACCGACTCCATTTTCAGATGAGCACTTGTTAGAAAGGCTATTTTTCTATATGGAGGAAGGTCTTCATTCCCCAGAGGAAAATACAGGTAGTCCTTGACTTACAACCACAACTGAGCCCAACATTTCTGTTGCTAAATGAGACAGTTGTTAAGTGAATTTTGCCCCATTTTATGACGTTTCTTGCCACAGTGAATCACTGCAGTTGTTATATTAGAAATATGGTTGTTAAGGGAATCTGGCTTCCCAGATTGTCTTTGTTGGTCAGAAAGTCATAAAAGAGGATCATGTGACCCCGGGACACCACAAACATTATAGATGTAAGTCAATTGCCAATCATCAGAATGACTGTGGGGGATGCTGTAATGGTTGTAAGTGTGAAAAATGGTCATAGATCACTTTTTTTCAGTGGTGTTGTAACTTCAAACTGTCACTAAATGAACTGTTGTAAGTTGAAGACTATCTGTATTCCAAATATTATTGCCCTTTCTACAGCCCAACTGCCAGGAAATATATTACAATTAGGTTGCATTAACTATAAAAATTGTGTGCTATGACTAGTCTGGAAATGGGATCAGAATAGTTTAGCAATTCAGTTTCTAATTCCTGAAACCGTAACTGCTGACACCATCACCTGGATATGTTTTAGGGACCTTCTTTTTCCTGTAATATGGACACTTTACGATTCTGAGTATTCCACAGCACTTAACCAAACTTTATTGATCTCCAAAGAGCCCAGCTGGTTAGTACTTGGAAGAGAGACAACTATATGAGTCCATGGAGATTAGACTTTAAAAGTTTACATCTATCTATCTATCATCTCTCTCTATCATCTGTTGCAAACGACTTCTATAGTGCTGCAGTTTTGACCTGTTCTCCCTCTTCTCTGAGTTCACTTTTTAATCTCTCTTTTCAAAGACCCAATATTTCTTCCATCTAGTTTTCCATGAGTATCTGCTCTCTAACTGTATGTTTTCTACTTTCAGGCTCTTTTTTGTTTAACACTTCCTCATTCTGTTTTTCATTTCACTGTCTGGTTTGTTCTCTTCCTTGCAAGACTATGTTTCTAAGATCATTAGGAAAACTCATCCCACTAAACCAAGGATTGGAGATGTTAAGTGATTGTCCAAAGATAAACAAGGGTTTAAGCTGAAAGGAACCCCTTGAAAATCAAGAGGGAAGGGAAGAAATGAAGCTACCAAGCAGCTAAGTGGTGAACAGAAACATTCCCAAAAGCAGAATCATATTCTGTGATATTGAGCTACAATTTCCATTATTCTGTACCAGAAAGTAGAGACTGGGAGAAATATAACCCCAATTTCTGGTACAGGATTTCTCTGTTGTTGGATGATATTTACACAGCAGCTTCCAAAAATTGGTTCAAGCCTATAAAAATTATAACTTTTCTAAAGGTTGTACAACATTCTTTGATTTCAATGTTTACTAAATGTTCATGAAATGCAAGCAAAATGACTATTCACAGACATTACTTGCCTTTATGGCAGTAGCAACCAGAAAAAGAAAACCATGAATAAAAACCTGTCATAAAAAATGAACTGAACTGATTATGAATCAACAATTCATTTAAAATAAAGTTTGGTTCCATAGATATTTTCCCTAAACATTTAAATGTGGTTGGGGTTGGCTTCCAACTGAAAATTATATGAGTACTTTGGTCAGAAATATGGGATAATATTAGCCCTAATATAAAATAATACATGACAGTCCTACATGCAAACATTTTTGTAAGTTTACACATTTATGCAAAGATCATATCTGATGAGTTATATGAGAATTTCAAATTTTCTTTTTAAAAAGGGTAGGCAAAATATAGACTTCCATTTCTTACTGAATCACTACTGCTAAGAGGCCTAGACAATCTGTTAAATGTAGTTCAAACATGTGGTGGACCACATGTTTCCTATTCTTAATCTAAAACATCCTCTAGTCTGCATATATTTTTCTAATTTATTCATTTATCTGTCATGATTGAGTCAATATTCTTTAAAATATCACTTTGCATATATGATAACTTCTCCATTGCAATGCCATAAGAAAATGGAATAAAATTATTTTCTCTTGTCCTATGATCTGAACCAATGCATTCAAACTGCAACAAACCATATCCTAAATCCTAAGAAGCAGTCTTAATAATTAGGATTTCAGTTAAGCCTGAGAATCAATTTCTTCATGGTACCAGCTATTGGACAGTAAACAGACTTAAATGGTAGTGGGATGTCTTCCATTAAAAAGATATATAACTGCATATTCCTTCCATACCCAGGTGAACATGAAATGGCTCTTCCATATTATCCTTATGATTCTATCAGCCTGTAGAAACCTGATCAGATATTCCTGATGAGTCTCCATGACAAGGAACGCTCTGTACAGAAAATGTACAAGCTGGGCTTCCCCAACTGGCTGAAGCAATATATTTGGGAGTCACTGGCTTGGAAGGGGATGCTACAGTAACCTATGGGTTAACGATGACGGTGAAATAGCTTATACGTGGTAGAGCTAATGTTAAGATAACAGAGAAGCAGTTTCCCAACAGTTTGCCAGCAGATTCCATAAAAAATAAAAGGAGTATTGTAAGCTTGGTATTGTTTACTCTGATTGGGCACAGTAAGCTTACTAATAGGTGGTGGTATATCTCATTCCTTGGGATGCTTTAAACCACTGGGGATAACATTCAAATGGAATGTTTTCAACCCTAAGTGCTCAAAACGATGCCAAATCTTCATGGGCCCGAACTGAAGAGCAGAAAACAGAGGCGAGATCAGCACCATGGACAGTGGCCTTGCTACTTGCGAGAGGGTTGCCGCCTTCTTCCGCTTTCGGCATCTCTGCCCAATTTTAACTCTTCCCAGCCATAAATACAGGGCGGTGGCCCGGAATGTCAGAGATGATTCCCCCACAACGAGCGTAAGTGTGTGTGTGTGTGTGTGTGTGTGTGTGTATGGGTGATCCACTGGCCGAGACACCCTCCCAAATTGCCTTAGTCTAGGGCAGGGGTAGGCAACCTCGGCTCTTTTATGACTCGTGGACTTCAACTCCCAGAATTCCCGAGTCAGCATAGCTGACTCGGGAATTCTGGGAGTTGAAGTCCACGAGTCATAAAAGAGCCGAGGTTGCCTACCCCTGGTCTAGGCGTATATTTGTCTGCCCTCTGGGCGTCCAAGGAAGGCGAAGGATGAAGAAGCCTGAATTATTCTCACGCCTGGCTGGAACCACCCTCTCCTCCACTCCTAAATTTCTGGCCTTTGCCTCCCCGGCTTTCAACGGGAAAACCAAACACGGGGGAAGCCCAGCGGTTCGGAAGGAAAAGTCAAACAAAGGAATCCGCCGCCTTCTCCTGCCCGGTTAGAGTAGGGAGAGCCCACACCGGACCGGGAGCTGCAAGGAAGGCAGATGGGAGGCGAGGAATTGCGAGGGAGAGTAGAGAACCCCCCCATCGCTTCCCCTTCCTCCGCTTTGCTCATTTAAACACTGCGTATCTGCGATTCCCCGGCGCCGGGGAACACCGGGATCGTCTTCCCCCCTTTACGGCCAAAGAAACAAGGCGCCTGCGCCATTAGTCCGTCCTCCGTCCGGAATAAACATGAACCGGCCAAACCGTCAGCTGCCCATCATATTGTACATCTACACCCCCCCCAACCCCACCTCACCCTACCCCACCCCGCTACCCCCACCGGCCACTGATGCAAAAGCTCAAAGCTGCGCGGCCCGATCGATTTCCACACAAAAGCATTTTAAAGGAGGGGGGTGTTGTACGGTTGGCACAAAAGCCAGAAAGGGGTAGGGGGGTGTCCCGGAGCGTGGATTCAATAATAAGTATTCCCCTTCTCCCCTCCCCTCCCCTCAGCTTGCATACCCTCTCCCCATCTCGCCAGCATGCCTTTCCCCGTGGAAGGGAGGAGGGGGGGGGAAGGGAAGACAATCTATGTATAATTTGACCAGCACTCACCTAAATCCGGCATGGAGCATGTACATTCTTGGCACTCCCGTGTTGGCATATTTGGGAGTGGTGAAGATGTTGTCTTTTTTCAGGGACACGTAGCTGATCAAGGACAAAATCAAGAGAGCCACGCTGACCATCACTAGCCCCAGAACACTCACCACTCGGACCATCTTGCAGCTTCTCATACCTAGGGCGGGAGGGGGAGAGAGAGAGGGTGGAAAAAAAAAAAGATATACCCTGGGTTGTGAGAGCTACATTGGAGTTAACACACCCAGAAAGGAGGGATGGATGGAGCTGATGCGTGTGTGCTTGAGTGTGTGTGTGTGTGTGTGTGTGTGTGTGTGTGTCGATATGGCTAAGAGCTAAGGAGGGGGAGGGAAAAACACATGCAACTAAAGGATTAATGCACAGTGTACTGGCACACAGATACACATGAGCTCAGGCAAATAATAATCGTAATGTAATAATGCTGGTTAAGATCCAGAGCGTTCAAGAAAGAAACTGAAGGCTTTATTTTACCATCTCAAAAACAAGCTTTGCAGACTAATTGGAGGACAGCAAAATTCATCATGAAATAAACAGCACTAAACATTGCCTTCGTAGCAAAAAAGACAAAACCATTTACCATTGATCAGCGGCTGTAGCAAAATTCCACAAGCTGACTATAAGCAACGCCATGGCTGAGTTGCTAAAATTATTTGCCAGAGGTTTGGATTTAAATGTATTAAGAACTACTACGACCAACAAGTTGAGAAGATTTTGGCAAAGAGTGGGTTAGGAACTTATGGGACTTTAACATTCAAACAAGTCTTGTTCATAACATGCCTAATATAAAAGTTATTGAAAAGAAGAAAGTCTAGTTCATTGATGTTGCTATACCAGGTGATGATGGGATAGAGGAAAAATAATTAGGGGGGAAAATGGCAAAATATTGGGATTTGCAGATCGAAGCTGAATGCTTATGGAAAAAGAAATTTGCTGTTACACCAATTATGATTGGAGCGCTTGGAGTAATACATAAAGGATTCCCTTGATCTTTGGAAATTTTGAATTTATTGGACCTGAGCGCCCTAATTCAACAAAACAAACAAACAACCCTTTTCTTGGAATTGCCTATATTTTCAGATGCTACTTTAATATGTCTTAGGTTCTTGACTAGGACTTGAGTTACTAAGTTTCAACTAGTCTTTCTGATTCTAATTCCAGATTATACATAATATTAATTCAATATCAATATTATGATATGTGGCACTATCTGGAGACAGCAGAAAAGAGAAAGAACTGTAGAAAATAGCAAAATACAAGACCTATAAATAGAAATAGAACAACTGTGGCAAAAGAAAGCAAAGGTAGTGCCAATGGTAGTAGGTGCCTTGGGTGCAATCCAAAAACATCTGGAGCATCATTTGAACACTATTGGCATTGACCAAATAATAATAATAATAATAATAATAATAATAATAATAATAATAATAATAATAATAATAATAATAATAATAATAGTAAAGTTGGAAGGGACCTTGAAGGTCATCTAGTCCAACCCCCTGCTCAGGCAGGAAACCCTATACCATTTCGGACAAATGGCTGTCCAGTCTCTTCTTAAAAACTTCCAGTGTTGGAGCATTCA